ACCAAGCCACCCCGCACCACGCCGCCCCGCACCAAGCCGCTGTCCCGCCTCATGCCGCCCCGCACCAAGCCGCCCCGCACAAAGCCGCAACGCACCGCTCCACAACGCCCCGCACTACGCCGCACCACACCGTACCACGCAGCACCGCTAAAAGGAGGTGGCACCGTTGTGTGATGATTGGTTCCCGTAGCCATAGAAGATTGTTAGTCAAATTGTAATGAATATGATAAGTAGAGCTGGTTTGGCTCCCCATGTAAACTTTGACTCAGTCTTTAGGGGGCGCTAATGGGCCAATTTCAAATATTTCACTTTCACCTGACCTAAACCCTGGAGTTGAACAATGGATTCAAGTTTAATGCAAATCAGTCTTTGTTTGTGCAAACGGGGAAAAAATGTATGTTGTCAAAAACGGCCAAAAAAATCCTCACATTTTGCTGCTCTGCTGCTCAAACAACGTTTCACTGATCAAAAATCCCTGAAGTCATTTTGAAGGTAAATGTGTTGAGATGATTTGTTACAATTTTGAGGCCAATCGGTGAAACGGCCGAGGAGGAGTCGCTTTCCAACCGACGTGTATGAGAATGATTGGTTTTCATTTTTCCATTTTGCAGTGAAATTTATGGGCTTCCTGTTTGTCAGAGGGCTTAGCCATAATAACATTTTTTCCATGGCTTGACGTGAGGAACATGTGTACCAAATTACATGGTTCTACAAAAATTTTGACCTCGAACCCCTCCCATAGGCATTTTTAAATTGGCTTTTGTAGGTGGCGCTATAGAGCCAATTTCAAAATTCTAACTTTCAAATGACCTAGACCCAAAAGTTGAACCATGGATTCAAGTTTTGTGCAAATCAGACTTTGTTTGTGCAAACGGAAGCAATTTTTCTATTGTCAAAAACTGAAAAAAAAGACGCCACTTTTTGGCGCTCCGCTGCTCAAACAACGTTTCACTGATCAAAATTCCCTGAAGTCATTTTGATGGTACATGTGTTGAGATGATGTGGAAAGATTTTGAGGCGAATCGGTGAAACGGCCGAGGCTGGTTTGATGTTTGTGTGAGGTGTATATTTGCAATGAATGTTGAGCGTTTGTCGTCGCTACGGCAACAGGGTAAAAAATAAGCCTTGGACCCTTTTGACTTTTTGAATCAAGAGGGCAAAACAGATTTATGTGCAAAATTTCAAACATTTTGAAAAAACTAAATTTGAAAATGCCCATATAAAACTTTGAAATAGTCTGTAGGGGGCGCTAATGTGTCAATTTGAATCATTTGACTTTCAAATGACCTAGACCCTAGAGTTGAACAATGTATTAAAGTTTTGTGCAAATCAGACTTTGTTTGTGCAAACGGGAGAAAATTTTATGTTGTCATAAACTGCCAAAAAAAGGTCACATTTTGCCGCTCCGCTGCTCAAACAATGTTTCACTGATCAAAAATCCCTGAGGTCATTTTGAAGGTACATGTGTTGAGATGATGTGGAGCGATTTTGAGGCGAATCGGTGAAACGGCCGAGGAGGAGTCGCTTTCCAACCGACATGTATGAAAATGATTGGTTTTCATTTTTCCATTTTGCAATGAAATTTATGGGCTTCCTGTTTGTCAGAGGGCTTAGCCATAATAATATTTTTTCCATGTCTTGACTTGAGGAACATGTGTTCCAAATTACATGGTTCTACGACAATTTTGACCTCGAACCCCTCCCATAGGCATTTTTAAAATGGCTGTTGTAGGTGGCGCTATAGAGCCAATTTCAAAATTTTAACTTTCAAATGACCTAGACCCAAGAGTTGAACCATGGATTCAAGTTTTGTGCAAATCAGACTTTCTTTGTGCAAACGGAAGCAATTTTTCTATTGTCAAAAACTGAAAAAAAAACACGCCACTTTTTGGCGCTCCGCTGCTCGAACAACGTTTCACTGATCAAAATTCCCTGAAGTCATTTTGATGGTACATGTGTTGAGATGATGTGGAGCGATTTTGTGGCGAATCGGTGAAACGGCCGAGGCTGGTTTGATGTTTGTGTGAGGTGTATATTTGCAATGAATGTTGAGCATTTGTCGTCGCCACGGCAACAGGGTAAAAAATAAGCCTTGGACCCTATTGACTTTTTGAATCAAGAGGGCAAACAGATTTATGTGCAAAATTTCAAACATTTTGAAAAAAATAAATTTGAAAAGGGCCATCTAAAACTTTGAAATAGTCTGTAGGGGGCGCTAATGTGTCAATTTGAATCATTTAACTTTCAAATGACCTAGACCCTAGAGCTGAACAATGTATTAAAGTTTTGTGCAAATCAGACTTTGTTTGTACAAACGGGAGCAAATTTAATGTTGTCATAAACGGCCAAAAAAAGGTCACATTTTGCCGCTCCGCTGCTCAAACAATGTTTCACTGATCAAAAATCCCTGAGGTCATTTTGAAGGTACATGTGTTGAGATGATGTGGAGCGATTTTGAGGCGAATCGGTGAAACGGCCGAGGAGGAGTCGCTTTCCAACCGACATGTATGAAAACTTTTGCTGTTCATTTTTCCATTTTGCAGTGAAATTTATGGGCTTCCTGTTTGTCAGAGGGCTTAGCCATAATAATATTTTTTCCATGTCTTGACTTGAGGAACATGTGTTCCAAATTACATGGTTCTACAACAATTTTGACCTTGAACCCCTCCCATAGGCATTTTTAAAATGGCTGTTGTAGGTGGCGCTATAGAGCCAATGTCAAAATGTAAACTTTCAAATGACCTAAACCCAAGAGTTGAACCATGGATTCAAGTTTTGTGCAAATCAGACTTTGTTTGTGCAAACGGAAGCAATTTTTCTATTGTCAAAAACTGAAGAAAAATACGCCACTTTTTGGCGCTCCGCTGCTCGAACAACGTTTCACTGATCAAAATTCGCTGAAGTCATTTTGATGGTACATGTGTTGAGAAGATGTGGAGCGATTTTGAGGCGAATCGGTGAAACGGCCGAGGCTGGTTTGATGTTTGTGTGAAGTGTACATTTGCAATGAATGGAGAGCGTTTCTCGTCGCCACGGCAACAGGGTAAAAAATAAGCCTTGGACCCAATTGACTTTTTGAATCAAGAGGGCAAAACAGATTTATGTGCAAAATTTCAAACATTTTGAAAAAACTAAATTTGAAAATGCCCATCGGAAACATTGAAATAGTCTGTAGGGGGCGCTAATGTGTCAATTTGAATCATTTGACTTTCAAATGACCTAGACCCTAGAGTTGAACAATGTATTAAAGTTTTGTGCAAATCAGACTTTGTTTGTGCAAACGGGAGCAAATTTAATGTTGTCAAAAACGGCCAAAAAAAGGTCACATTTTGCCGCTCCGCTGCTCAAACAATGTTTCACTGATCAAAAATCCCTGAGGTCATTTTGAAGGTACATGTGTTGAGATGATGTGGAGCGATTTTGAGGCGAATCGGTGAAACGGCCGAGGAGGAGTCGCTTTCCAACCGACATGTATGAAAACTTTTGCTGTTCATTTTTCCATTTTGCAGTGAAATTAATGGACTTCCTGTTTGTCAGAGGGCGGAGCCATATTAATACTTTTTTCTTGTCTTGACTTGAGGAACATGTGTACCAAATTTCATGTTTCTACGACAAACTTGACCTCCGAAAAGTCCCATAGGGGTATTATTTTGGCTGTTGTAGGTGGCGCTGTTCTGTCATTTTTTGAGTCCCATAAAAATAAACACCAAAATATCAAATTTTTCGCCAGGTCTGATTTTTGGGCCAAAATTAACAACTTTTCATGCATGTTCAGGGGGTCAAATTAAGGCTCAAAGTGCAGAAGAAAAAAGAAAGAAAGAAAGAAATAAATTAAAGCCGCAAGCGGCGTCGAACGGCCCTCGCCGCACCGCGCGACTCCCTGCACCGCGCGCACTCCCCGCACCACGCCGCCGCGCACCACGCCGCCCTGCACCACGCCGCCCCGCACCACGCCGTCCCGCACCACGCCGTCCCGCACCACGCCGTCCGCACACGCCGCCCGCACCAAGCCGCAACGCTCCGCTCCACAACGCCCCGCACTACGCCGCACCACCGTACCACGCAGCACCGCCCAAAGGAGGTGGCGCCGCCGTGTGATGATTTGTTCCCGTAGCCATAGAAGATTGTTAGTCAAATTGTAATGAATATGAAAAGTAGAGCTGGTTTGGCTCCCCATGTAAACTTTGACTCAGTCTTTAGGGGGCGCTAATGGTCAATTTCGAATATTTCACTTTCACCTGACCTAAACCCTGGAGTTGAACAATGGATTCAAGTTTAATGCAAATCAGACTTTGTATGTGCAAACGGGAAAAAAATTAATGTTGTCAAAAACGGCAGAAAAAAACTTCCCATTTTGCCGCTCCGCTGCTCAAACAACGTTTCACTGATCAAAATTCCCTGAAGTCATTTTGATGGTACATGTGTTGAGATGATTTGGAACAATTTTGAGGTCAATCGGTGAAACGGCCGAGGAGGAGTCGCTTTCCAACCGACATGTATGAAAATGATTGGTTTTCATGTTTCCATTTTGCAATGAAATTTATGGGCTTCCTGTTTGTCAGAGGGCTTAGCCATAATAACATTTTATCCATGTCTTGACTTGAGGAACATGTGTTCCAAATTACATGGCTCTACGACAATTTTGACCTCGAACCCATCCCATAGGCATTTTTAAATTGGCAGTTGTAGGTGGCGCTATAGAGCCAATTTCAAAATGTTAACTTTCAAATGACCTAGACCAAGAGTTAAACCATGGATTCAAGTTTTGTGCCAATCACACTTTGTTTGTGCAAACGGAAAAAAATTTTCTATTGTCAAAAACTGAAAAAAAATACGCCACTTTTTGGCGCTCTGCTGCTCAAACAACGTTTCACTGATCAAAATTCCCTGAAGTCATTTTGATGGTACATGTGTTGAGATGATGTGGAGCGATTTTGAGGCGAATTGGTGAAACGGCCGAGGCTGGTTTGATGTTTGTGTGAGGTGTACATTTGCAATGAATGGGGAGCGTTTCTCGTCGCCACGGCAACAGGGTAAAAAATAAGCCTTGGACCCAATTGACTTTTTGAATCAAGAGGGCAAAACAGATGTATGTGCAAAATTTCAAACATTTTGAAAAAACTAAATTTGAAAATGCCCATCTAAAACTTTGAAATAGTCTGTAGGGGGCGCTAATGTGTCAATTTGAATTAATTCACTTTCAAACGACCTAGACCCTAGAGTTGAACAATGTATTAAAGTTTTGTGCAAATCAGACTTTGTTTGTGCAAACGGGAGCAAATTTAATGTTGTCAAAAACGGCCAAAAAAAGGTCACATTTTGCCGCTCCGCTGCTCAAACAATGTTTCACTGATCAAAAATCCCTGAGGTCATTTTGAAGGTACATGTGTTGAGATGATGTGGCGCGATTTTGAGGCGAATCGGTGAAACGGCCGAGGAGGAGTCGCTTTCCAACCGACATGTATGAAAACTTTTGCTGTTCATTTTTCCATTTTGCAGTGAGATTTATGGGCTTCCTGTTTGTCAGAGGGCGGGGCCATAATAATATTTTTTTCTTGTCTTGACTTGAGGAACATGTGCACCGAATTTCATGACTCTACAACAAACTTGATCTTCAGAACTCCCATAGGGGTATTATTTTGGCTGTTGTAGGTGGCGCTGTTCTGGCATTTTTTGTGTCCCATAAAAATAAACACCAAAATATCAAATTTTTCGCCAGGTCTGATTTTTGGGCAAAATTTAACAACTTTTCATGCATGTTCAGGGGGTCAAATTAAGGCTCAAAGTGCAGAAGAAAAAAGAAAGAAAGAAAGAAAGAAATAAATAAATAAATAAATAAAAAAGGAATTTTTTTTTCGACGTCTCGAGCAAAAACAATATAGGTTTCAATGGCACGTGATACATAATTTTAAAGCTTTTGAGTTTACGCACGCAACCGTCACGTTTTGGTGAGTGACGGGCGCTGACGCGTCCGTCACGCACCGCCACCATTTGTTTTCACCATTGTGAAAGCAATAGGCCCTTACCCCGTTCGGGGCTCGGGCCTAATTAAAGCCGCAAGCGGCGTCGAACGGCCCTCGCCGCACCGCGCGACCCCCCGCTCCGCTACGAGTACCCGCTCCGCTGCGACTCCCCGCTCCGCTGCGACACCCCGCACCGCGCTCCGCTACGACTCCCCGCTCCGCTGCGACACCCCGCACCGCTACGACTCCCCGCACCGCGCTCCGCTACGACTCCCCGCACCGCGCTCCGCTACGACTCCCCGCTCCGCTACGACTCCCCGCTCCGCTACGACTCCCCGCTCCGCTACGACTCCCCGCTCCGCTACGACTCCCCGCACCGCGCTCCGCTACGACTCCCCGCACCGCGCTCCGCTACGACACCGCGCTCCGCTACGACTCCCCGCTCCGCTACAACTCCCCGCACCGCTACGACTCCCCGCACCGCTACGACTCCCCGCACCGCTACGACTCCCCGCACCGCTACGACTCCCCGCACCGCTACGACTCCCCGCACCGCTACGACTCCCCGCACCGCTACGACTCCCCGCAACGCGCGCCGCTACGACTGCCCGCTCCGCTACGACTGCCCGCTCCGCTACGACTCCCCGCTCCGCTACGACTTCCCGCTCCGCTACGACGCTCCGCTACGACTTCCCGCTCCGCTACGACTCCCCGCTCCGCTACGACTTCCCGCTCCGCTACAACTTCCCGCACTGCGTGCCACTACGACTCCCCGCACCACTACGACTCCGTGCACAGCTACAACTCCCCGCACCGCGCAACTCGCCTCAACTCGCGATTTCCCTCCCTGTGACTCCCCGCGTGACTCGCCGCTCCGCAGGTGGCGCCGCCGCGCCATGATTTGCTATCGTAGCCATAGAACAATGTTTGTGAAATTGATCCGTCGGTGTGGCTCCCCATGTAAAGCTTTAGCTCGGTATGTAGGGGGCGCTAAAGAGCCAATGTAATATTGTACACACTTTCAGGTGACCCAGGCCCAGGAGTAGAACAATCGGGTCAAGTTAAGTACAAATCAAACTTTGTTTGTTCAAACGAGAGCTATTTTTACATAGCCAAAAAAGGTCATTATTTGCCGCTCCGATGCTCGAACAATGTTTCACTGATAAAAATTACCTGAAGTCATTTTGAAGGTACATGTGTTGAGACGATCTGGAGCGATTTTCAGGCAAATCTGTGAAACGGTCGAGGAGGAGTTGCTTTCCAAACGACATGTGTGAAAATGATTGCTGTTCATTTATCCATTTTGCAGTGAAATTTATGGGCTCCCTGTTTGTCAGAGGGCGGGGCCATAATAAAACTAATTTCATGTCTTACCTTGTGGAATATGTGTACCAAATTTCATGGCTCTACAACAAACTTGACCTCAAAAACTCTCATAGGAGTATATAATTGGCTGTTGTAGGGGGCGCTGTTCTGGCAATTGAATTATTTCACATTCAAATGACCTACACCCTAGAGTTTAACCATGGAAACAAGTTTTGTGCAAATCGGACTGTGTTTGAGTAAACGGAAGTAATTTTTCTATTGTCAAAAACTGAAAAAAAAACGCCACTTTTTGGCGCTTCGCTGCTCAAACAACGTTTCACTGATCAAATTTCGCTGAAATCAAAATGACGGTACATGTGTTTAGACCATGTGTAGCGATTTTAAGGCAAATCGGTGAAACGGCTAAGGAGGAGTCGCTTTCCAACCAACATCTGTGAAAATGACATTCTGTAGGGGGCGCTACTGCTGCGATTTGATGTTTTACACTTTCAGTTTACCCAAACCCAAAAGTTGAACAACCGATTCAAATTTGGTGCAAATCGGACTGTGTATGTGCAAACGGTGGCTTTATTGGACTACAATTGCGCCCCCTACAATATCAAATTTTAGTCTCATACTAGGAAACACAAAATTAATAAAGTGTTTGCAAGAACAGAACTTGTGGCAAAATTTTGTAAGTTTTTGTGCATGTTCAGTGGGTCAAATATGACATCAAACAACAGCAAACTTGTTCTTTCCCAGGTTTTCCTGGGCTAGAACAAGTATAATTAAAGCCGCAAGCGGCGTCGAACGGCCCTCGCCGCACCGCGCGACTCCCTGCACCGTGCGCACTCCCCGCACCACGCCGCCCTGCACCACGCCGTCCCGCACCACGCCGTCCCGCACCACGCCGTCCCGCACCACGCCGTCCCGCACCACGCCGTCCCGTACCAAGCCGCAACGCGCGCGCTCCACAACGCCCCGCACTACGCCGCACCACACCGTACCACGCAGCACCGCTCAAAGGAGGTGGCGCCGCCGTGTGATGATTTGTTCCCGTAGTCATAGAAGATTGTTAGTCAAATTTGAATGAATATGATAAGTAGAGCTGGTTTGGCTCCCGATGTAAACTTTGGCTCAGTCTTTAGGGGGCGCTAATGGGCCAATTTCAAATATTTCACTTTCACCTGACCTAAACCCTGGAGTTGAACAATGGATTCAAGTTTAATGCAAATCAGACTTTGTTTGTGCAAACGGGAAAAAATTAATGTTGTCAAAAACGGCCAAAAAAACCCTCACATTTTGCCGCTTCGCTGCTCAAACAACGTTTCACTGATCAAAATTCCCTGAAGTCATTTTGAAGGTAAATGTGTTGAGATGATTTGGAACAATTTTGAGGCCAATCGGTGAAACGGCCGAGGAGGAGTCGCTTTCCAACCGACATGTATGAAAATGATTATTTTTCATTTTTCCATTTTGCAGTGAAATTTATGGGCTTTCTGTTTGTCAGAGGGCTTAGCCATAATAAAACAAGTTCAATGTCTTGACTTGAGGAACATGTGTTCCAAATTACATGGTTCTATGACAATTTTGACCTCGAACCCCTCCCATAGGCATTTTTAAATCGGCTGTTGTAGGTGGCGCTATAGAGCCAATTTCAAAATTTTAACTTTCAAATGACCTAGACCCAAGAGTTGAACCATGGATTTAAGTTTTGTGCAAATCAGACTTTGTTTGTCCAAACGGAAGCCATTTTTCTATTGTCAAAAACTGAAAAAAAATACGCCACTATTTGCCGCTCCGCTGCTCAAACAACGTTTCACTGATCATAAATCCCTGAGGTCATTTTGACGGTACATGTGTTGAGATGATGTGGAGCGATTTTGAGGCGAATAGGTGAAACGGCCGAGGCTAGTTTGATGTTTGTGTGAGGTGTACATTTGCAATGAATCTGGAGCGTTTGTCGTCGCCACGGCAACAGGGTAAAAAATAAGCCTTGGACCCTATTGACTTTTTGAATCAAGAGTGCAAAACAGATTTATGTGCAAAATTTCAAACTTTGTATGTGTAACGGGAGACATAATTTTGAAAAAACTAAATTTGAAAATGCCCATCTAAAACTTTGAGTCCCATAAACACCAAAAATATAACACCAAAATATCATGGTTCAGGGGGTGGAAATTTTCGCCAGGTCTGATTTTTGGGCCAAAATTAACCCCAACAAGTTTGTTTCATGCATGTTCAGGGGGTCAAATTAAGCTCAAAGCGTACTCACTCCTGCAGATTCTTCCAAATCGCTCCACATCATGCTCAACACTATGTACCTTGAAAATGATCATTCGCCGGGCTTTTTCATCCAGTGAGTGACGTTGTTCGCACAGGCGTAGCTGAAAATGTGAACCTTTTTTTGGGGCGTTCTTGGACAGTATTAAATTGCTCCCGTTTCGCACGTTGACAACGTCTGATTTGCACAGAAACTTCAATACATTGTTTCACTCTAGGGATCTCAGAGTTCAATTGAACGTGAAATAAAAGAACATTGGCTCATTCTATGTGCCCCTACAGTGGAGTCAAAAGTTTTCAGCAGTTTTCCATCCTAAAATAACTTGAAATAGTCCTGTAGGGGGCGTTAATGAGCCAAGTTCAATTATTTCTATCTTTCAAAGTCCTTGACTTATGTAGTTGAAACATGAGATTTCAAGTTTTTGTGCAAAATCGGATTTTGATGTTTGTAAACGGGAGCAATTAGAAGGTGTGAAAAAAAGACGGCTCATTTAATCACTCACATGTTTGCCGCTCCGCCTGCTCAAACAACGTTTTCCACTGATCATAATTCCCTGTAGGTCATTTTTGATGGTTAAATGTGTTTAGTAATGTGGAGTGATATGGAGGACAATCGGGTGAAGACGGCTACGGCCTAGGTGGAGGCGCTTTCACAGACGACATGTATGAAATCTGTTTGACTGTTGCATTTTTCCATTTTGCAAGTGTAAATTTTATGGGCATACTGTTGGTCAAGGAGGGCGGGAAGCAATGTTTTCATTTCACGGTACGATATCTTGGTATTGAGGTTCCATGTGTAACGAATTTCACTGGTATCTACAACAATCTTGATCTCTGAAACTCCTAGGGGTATTATTTTGGCTGTTGTAGGTGGCGCTGTTTCTGGCATTTTTTGCAGTCCCATATAAATTAAACACCAAAATATCAAATTTTTCCTTGGTCTGATAATGCAGAAAATAAAAAAGGAATTTTTTTTTTCGACGTCTCGAGCAAAAAACAATATAGGTTTCAATGGCACGTGATACATCATTTTAAAGCTTTTGAGTTTACGCACGCAACCGTCACGTTTTGGTGAGTGACGGGCGCTGACGCGTCCGTCACGCACCGCCACCATTTGTTTTCACCATTGTGAAAGCAATAGGCCCTTACCCGTTCGGGGCTCGGGCCTAATAAATAAAAAAGGAATTTTTTTTTTTCGACGTCTCGAGCAAAAACAATATAGGTTTCAATGGCACGTGATACATCATTTTAAAGCTTTTGAGTTTACGCACGCAACCGTCCACGTTTTGGTGAGTGACGGGCGCTGACGCGTCCGTCACGCACCGCCACCATTTGTTTTCACCATTGTGAAAGCAATAGGCCCTTACCCCGTTCGGGGCTCGGGCCTAATAAAAAAGGAATTTTTTTGTTAACGTCTCGAGCAAAAACAATATAGGTTTCAATGGCATGTGATACATCATTTTAAAGCTTTTGAGTTTACGCACGCAACTGTCACATTTTTGGCAACCCTCCCATAGGCATTTTTAAAATGGCTGTTGTAGGTGGCGCTATAGAGCCAATTTCAAAATTTTAACTTTCAAATGACCTAGACCCAAGCGAGTTGAACCATGGATTCAAGTTTTGTGCAAATCAGACTTTCTTTGTGCAAACGGAAGCAATTTTTCTATTGTCAAAAACTGAAAAAAAAACACGCCACTTTTTGGCGCTCCGCTGCTCGAACAACGTTTCACTGATCAAAATTCCCTGAAGTCATTTTGATGGTACATGTGTTGAGATGATGTGGAGCGATTTTGTGGCGAATCGGTGAAACGGCCGAGGCTGGTTTGATGTTTGTGTGAGGTGTATATTTGCAATGAATGTTGAGCATTTGTCGTCGCCACGGCAACAGGGTAAAAAATAAGCCTTGGACCCTATTGACTTTTTGAATCAAGAGGGCAAACAGATTTATGTGCAAAATTTCAAACATTTTGAAAAAACTAAATTTGAAAAGGGCCATCTAAAACTTTGAAATAGTCTGTAGGGGGCGCTAATGTGTCAATTTGAAGTAATTCACTTTCAAATGACTTAGACCCTAGAGTTAAACAATGTATTAAAGTTTTGTACAAATCAGACTTTGTTTGTGCAAACGGGAGCAAATTTAATCTTGTCAAAAACGGCCAAAAAAAGGTCACATTTTGCCGCTCCGCTGCTCAAACAATGTTT